AGCAGCCAGCCCCCCATGCTGCCTGGAGAAAGTCGGCTGTGCCCTGTGAAAGCAAACGGGGGCCCTCGAAGGGTCGCTGTCCCGGAGGAATCCCTGGACACACCCAAACGGACACAGAACTTCCTCCCGGCTGCTTCTGGTGGGCGAGCCGTTACCAGGTGTGCACCAGAAAGGCTAATTGGCAATGCAACTCATAATTAGTCTTTGATTAATTAAGAATGGGAAAACTAATTACCTAATAAATGTCGTTGGTGTCCTAGGCACCATCTTTGAAAAGGGGCAATCCTCACTCAGGAGGGACCTCAGAGGCCAGGGCCCTGGGCCCCCGGGACTCACCAGGTGGGAGAGAGTGCCCGCCCCTTGCCCACTGGACAGCAGGCCCTGGGGGTGGGTGTCTGTCTGTCTGCTCAGCACTCGGTCCCCGGCCCACAGAGCACACCACTGCACTCGCTGAATGAATGGGTGGGTGGGTGAGTGAGTGGGTGGCTGCACCTGCAGGAGGAACCCTGTGTCCCCCCTAAGGAGCCCAGACTCAGCAGGACCCACCTCCCTGCCCGCTGCTCCCCGCAGCCACACGGACCACCCTTGGGTGGCAGTGGGGGCTCCGATCTGAGCACCCCTCCCCCCACATGGCACTAAGAGTCCCAAGCCCCCTCCTCCAGGTCTAAAGGGCTCCCAGAGCGCTCGCCTTCCCTGGCCCCCCTGCACTGCACCCCGGGGCGCATTCAGGAGGCGACTGAGCGATGTCTCTCCCTCTCCCTCCTCCCCTTCCCCTCTCTCAAGTCCATGAGCATGTCCTCAGGCGGATTTCAAAATGGTGAATATTGGGTGATGACCATTTTATCATCATTTTATTTTAATGAAAGTCAAAAAGGACCACCCAGGATAAACAATCCCGAGCTCCAGCCCCCACGCCCTGAGTCTCAGGGAGGGCGGGGACCTGCTTACGTGCCCAGCTTGCTCGTGGCTGAGGGCCTGGGAAGGCTCTCGGAACCAGCAGGGCCCTTCTGGGCAAGGTCATGGCCACAAGCCTGTGCTTCAGAGGGGCTGCCCCTCACCAAGGGCTGACTGGCCGCAGACCCCTGGGCCTCTGGAAGTCCCAGAATTCATTCCTGTGCAGGGCCTCCAGGCTGCCGGGGAAAGGACACTTTGTTACCATTCACCTCCAGACTGCCGGGGAAGGGACACTTTGTTACAATCAATTCTTTATACTTTGATACTCTTTTTCTCACCTCCTTAGTCTCATTCAGCTTCTTTTGCAAGCAGACAGCAAATTGTCAGGCTTCAATGGAAACAATTAGTGCCTCAGGTCTCGGGGAGAAACAATTTGCCAATTAAAATTCCCTTAACTGTGGATACAGGCAGAGAGAGAGCTGAGAAAATCCACGCTCCTAACCAACCCCTGGTGGGGGGCCCGCGGAGGGTGGAAGAGCAAGATGCCAGAGACGCAGCCCTGACAGCCACCCTCGAGGGGTCCTGCTCCAGCTCACGGGTAGGGAAGCCGCAGGCCTCAGAGATGAGCCGTGAGGGTCAGCGCCCGAAGCCAGGCTGCGCACACACTCCGGTTCCGTCACCGCCACCCCAGGCCTCTCCATCAGATGTGGCGGCTGCCGGCACAGGCACCCTGAGTCCCCCTGCCCAGAAATGAGCTGTCCGAGAGACAGGGGCAGACAGGGAGGGTCGCTTGCTGGGGACGAGGACCCGCCGGCTCGGCCAGCAGCCCCTCTCTGAGACCTGCCCTGGCTCTGGGACTCGCCACCTCCCCGGGGACTGAGCCACCGAACAGAGCCCCAGAGGCTCCCGCGCTGCAGCGACGGCGCTGAGATGAGTAAACGGTGCAGAGCGGCCGCTGTGAGAAGAGCAGAGCGTCTCACCGAGGACATTAAGTCCCCGGGAGAGCAAACGAGCGCACAGCCGCCACCACCACCGCTGCCACAGCCTCCAAGAGCCACCAAACCCAGAGCCGAGAGGCCTCCGGTGTGTGGAGCACGCTGAACAGTGAGCGTGAGGTGGCGCGGGCCGGGCAGGGAGACGGGGCGTTGCGTCCATGCCCCAAGGCTGCCGGCTCCCTTCCTCCCTGACCCGATGGAGCCCGGGGACCCGACTGGCCGCCCCACTTCCACCGTCACTGGGGACACCAGGGGACGCCTTCTCTGAGGCCCAGGGTTTCCTTCCTTCCTTCCCGAGGCGCCCGACAGGACGGCGAGGCTCGTGGACGCCAAGAGCCCGCACGCGGCGGGGAGCCGGCCCGGGTGAGCGCTGCCGCCGGCGGGAGGAGGAGGATGGACGGAGCTCCCCGCCCTCCCGAGAACCTGCTGCAGGGCCGCTTCACACTCAGTTAATTAATCAGCGGCCCACCAGTCGCCCCGGCTTCACCACGTCAGAAGATCAGAGCCTCGCAAAACGTTTTAATGAATAATAAATAGGAGCGTTAAACCCGTTTATTTTCGGGCGCGCTCCGCGCTTCGACTCCAACGGCAGACAGGGCCACCTGGACCTTCCCCTCGGGTTGTGCCTTCTGCCGGACATGGAGGCCAACGGGAGCCGAGCGACCAGGCGGGTCCCCGACACGGAGCCGCCGAGCGGGGGGCCCCCGGGGAGCAGCGGTGCACCCCACAGGGAGCAGGGCCCCGCACGGCCGCCAGGTCAGCTCCTGGAGGCCGAGCCTCTTCCCCTCTGGCCTCGCCCACCCGGGACACGAAGGATCCACCTGACAGATGCTGCCTGCCCCCCACCCCGGCAGGGACTCCTCCCACGCGTCAGGGCCAGCGCTGGCGTGGGGGCAGGCAGAGCGGGCAGTCCCATCCTCCCGGCCACCAAGGGGCTGGGCTCCTGGGCCCGTGGGAAACCTCGGTGCATGTCCCCGAAGAGACAGACGGGACCTTCGCTCTCTGAGCCCAGAGGGAACCGTGACACCAGACCTGAGGTGTCGCGGAGCTGAGGGGACCCGGGGGCCGCAGCCCAGCCCTGTGGCAGCTGGGCCATCCCCCCCCTCCACAGCGGCCAGCCCCTCTCGCCCTGCGGCCCAGGCAGCGCCAGCCGAAGGGCCAGAGAGAGCGGGCATGGCTTGCAATCTGTTGTCCAGGGTGTCCCGTCCCTGGACATCAGGAGGGACCCACCGAACAGCACGGGCCCCACACCGTGGCTCCCTGCAGGGAGAGTGGGTGCCAGGGCCCCACGCCTCCCCAGTCACACTCAGCGGGGAGGCACTGGCCACAGGTGCCACAGCCAGGCGGAGCCCTGGGGGGTGGTCAGTGCGCACCCAGGTGGGCGAGGACAGGCAGGAGGGCAGGACGGTGTGGACTGCACGCCCTGGCGCCAGCACGGCCCCCGCGGCCCAGCCCCTGGCGGGGCATCTGGCACACACTGGCCACTCTTGGGCCCGCAGAGGAGGCCGACGGACCAGGAGATGGCGGTGGGGGACCCAGGTGCACCCCGCCCGCCTTCCTACTCCACAGACTTTGGAGGGGGCTTCTCACCAGCAAATCACAAGCGGAACTTAGAGAAACTGAGTCAACCTGGGAAAGCCCCCCCGCCCCCGCATGACAGCACAGTGGGGCCCGACACGGCCTGAGTGCGTGTGCAACAGCGTGCAGCACCGACGTATATGTAACAGCCTCTCTGGGTGACAGTGTTAGTGCGTGACATGGTGTGCTTCTGAGCGTGACTGTATAAACACGTGTGTGTGAGCGTGTGATGCTGTGTGGAAGGGAGCCCGTCTGTGTGTGTCAACAGCGTGTGTGTGCACATTCTGGGCTCGAAGGCCCTGCCCCGAGCCCACAGCGGTCAGCGGCCCCTGCCCAGGGGACTGCTGGGGGCTGGAGCAAACAGGAGCGGGGTCCCCGTGCACCCCAACTCCAGTCCGTGGGCACAGACAGGCAGGCCCCTCAGTGGTGGGTGCACGGTGGCCTCTGAGTCCTGGGCGGGACCACCAGGGGGGACGGGCTGAGTCTTTTAAGAAGGAAGCAGGAAGCTAAGACCTGGGCAGTCACACACGGAGACGTGCTCTGGAGCAGGTCCTGGAATCTTGCCTCTAGGGAATTCCAGGGCCGGCGCAGAGTCCGGCCGGGCCGAGGGGCTGGTGGGAAAGTCCCAGCCGTGGCTGCCGCCGATCTGACACCGTGTCGCCCTGCAAACACCGGTTCTCTAAGCATCTGTAGCCACAAATACAACCACCTTCTCTCACTTCATAAACCGCGAATCTGCACAGCCCTCCCCGGGCACCCAGCCCCCAACGGCCGGCGGTTCCTCACTCAGGTGAACTAGGCAAGGATCCCTCCTGGAAGCCCACGGCCAGGGGCAGACTCGCCCCTCAGCTCCTGCGGGAAGCAGCTGGGCCACCGAGAAGTCCGAATGGTGCTGGTCCCAGCGACATACAAGGAGTGACCCAGGGCCTGCCGTGCTGACGGCCGTGGCGCCCTGAACCCAGGCTCACCCCCGTCCCCTGCACCTGGGCCGGCGGAGCTTCTCGGGACAGCGGCCAAGTGACACTGTCTGCAAACACAGGGAGACTCAAGGGTTGTCTGCCCCGGACTGAGGGGTCCAGGCTCTGACCCCCTCTTGGCCTCACACCTGTCAGGGACCCACCCAGGTGGGACCACCACAGCCCCCGTGGATGGCCAGTGTCACCTCTGCCGACCCCGCAGGAGCAGGGAGGGGCAGTGGCCCATTCCCCGCGAAGAGTCGAAGGCTGGGGGCAGAGAGCAGACACTCCGGGTCCCCCCTACCCCTGCCCAGGTGGGAAAGGCTCCATCCTTGTGCACGCCCTGCTGTCCCTCCACCCTCCCCGACGCACGACACCCGGCCTCGCCCCGAGTGGCTTCAGCAGGAAGGCGCTGTCCTGCGGGCCCCCATCTGGCCCCTCACACTCCCGCCTGCGCCTGTGCCCGCACCTGCCCGACGGACGGCGGACAGAACGCCCCAGCCCGCTCTGCGTTGCAGCGCCTGCCGGGGAGCCGGCCCTCGGCCACCAAGCCCGGGGGGCAAGGCCACACACTCACCTTCCCAAAGTCGCGGACGTCGAAGAGGTCGAAGGGGTCGAACAGCTCGCTGTTCCGCAACCCGAACTTGTCATGGCAGACTTTGAGGAAGGTGCGGATGTTCTTCAGACACAGGAACTGCAGGGCAGAGGGGGAGAAGCCGTCAGCACGTGGGGCCCAGAGGCGGCGCACGGACCAGATGCCCCTGCCCGGAACTCGAGGGTGCGCCGCCTCCGCCCGCCAGCATGACGCCGCGTCCCGGGCGGCCACTGGCAACCACGTGCCCCGTCCTGTCGAGGGGACCCAGCACATTTCGACGGGGACGAGACAGCCAGAAAAAATGGTGCTGGCCTTGAGTAAGCAGGGAGTACACACGTGTGGACACACAGGCGCACATGTATAGACACGTGCTGGCATGTGTGTGCATGCAGGCACCACCTTCCTGGACACAGACCTACCCCAGGTACTTTACAAGCGACAAAGCCAGCAGCCGGGGAGCACCCCACAAAAGTTATGGGGGGCCAGGTGCGGCACCTGCCTGCCAAAGTCGGGGGCCAGGGCTCCCGGGTCGGCACCCTGGCACCTCCTCCACCCAGCATCCCAACACCAGGGCCCCCGGCCTGCACTGGGCTTGGCCACACAGGGAAGGAGCGGTGGGGGTGGGGGGTGGACAGGGTCGCAGCTTCTGGCCCCCATGAGAAGGGCCGACCAAGAATTCGGGGGGCAGCAGGCGAGGCAGTGGGAGCACAGACTTCCAGGTCACTGGGCCCTGGGTTCCGACCTGGTCCCGGCAGGACCAGCAGGGAGCGGCCTGGCTCCTGAGGCTTCCTCCCGCAACGCACCTCCTGGGGGCCCAAGGCGGGCGGTGGGTGGGCGGGAGCCTTCAGCCTTGAGTTCGGCTCCGCCAGGGTGTCCACCACGGGCCAGGTCAGCCTGGCCCGCAGCCATTCCGCTTAGTGCGGGACGGCTCCATTTCCAGAGAGCCACGGACAGGCTGCGCCTGCCCGCCGGGAGCACAGACAGACGGACAGCCGGGGCCAGGAGCTCCCGCGGGAAGCCGCACCCCAGCCCAGCTCCAATCGCTACCCCACCCCCTCGGGCAGTGCCCTGCCCTGGAGCACCTTCTGCCTGGAGCCCTGCCTCCGGCCCTGCCTCCAGCTGGTCGCTGGTCCCCAAGGACACGTTTCCTGACTCATTTCCTCTGTCTCCCTCTGTCCTGGGGTTAGTGGTGCTGTGAGCATCATTTTTCTGAACTCGTGAGAGTAAACTGCAGACAGAACCCCCCTTCAGCCCCAGCACCTGAATCTGAGCGCATTTCCTAAGGGCAGGGACACCCCTTCCCCAACCTCAGCACCAGCACGGACCCCACACGGGCCCCGCCTACTGAACGCACAGCCCGCACACACGGCCTGACCCGGGGCCTGAAAGCAGGAGACGCTCCGGCCCGAGCCGACCTGGGTCAAACACTGCGTCAGCCGGGCCGTCTCTCTGCGAACCCGGGACAGCCGTGACGAGAGGGCCTCCCGGGATGGCAGAATTGTGTGCCCCCGAGCGTTTGACATGTGCCCACTCCAAGGGAGAAACTGCATCTTCGCCTTAATTTTATTCGAGTTCAAGTAAACGGAACACCGGCTCGTGGATCCCACACACGCCCAGTCCCCGTCACCCAGGACCGGGCTCTGCTGAAGAATTCGGTGACCACCAAGGACTGAGACTGCGGGCCCCACTCACGGAGGCAGGGAGGACAGGTGGCCTCGCAGGGACCGAGGGCTGCTGAGAGCCAGGGTGGGGTGGGGGCCTGGTGTTCCGTGGGCACAGATGTTCCCTTGGGGAAGGTGTAAAGGCCCCGGAAACAACGGTGTGACTGTCACATGGCACCAAGGACACGCTCAGCGTCCCTGTGACGCATCTGCAACGGTTAACACAGTCATAGCTACGTCGTACATATTTATCACGATAGAAACGTAATCACAAAGATGCAGAGGATGGGGACGCGGGCCCACGGGGAGGAGGCACCGTGGTGACAGGGTGGAGCTCAGGGAGCCGCCCCTGGGAGCAGACAGGGCAGCAGGGACCCGGGGGCCACCAGAAGCTGGGGGAGGCCGGGACTCACTCAGCCTCTGAGCCCCTGAGGAAGGGCCAGTCCTGCCGACACCGTGACCTCGAACCTGAGGCCCCCTGGTGCTGGGACACAAATACACGCCTGCCCCCTGCGGAGGTGGGCGCACACCCGCAGGACCCTCGTCCCTGCCTTCTCCGTCCCCCGTCCCCCAGTGGACCCCAGGACGCGGCAGCTGCCAGCCGGGCAGCTGCCGGCTCTGCTGTTTTTTGCTCATCACGCGTCTCTTATTTCCTCTAAGCATTTATTTTAATTCCTCCTCAGCCTCCCATTTTTAGAGTTAATTACACAGCTCCCGACCACAATGGCAGCCGGCAAGGCAAGGCTTCCTTTCGGGGCTCAGAGCAGGGCACAGCGTTAGCCTGGCCTGGCCCCACCCCACGTGGGCCCCTGACCTCCCAGAACCCCTGCCCTGGGCTGGAGGTCGCCCCAGGCCAGCCTTGGGGAAACTGAGGCACGCAGGCCCTGTCGGCCTTCGGGGACAGGACACTCGGGCCCACAGGGAGGGCCACGCCCAGGCCACTGTGCCGCGCAGGGCAGTGTGCCCCCTCAGCCCCAAAGAGGCCGCAATCCGATTAGGAGAGGACCCGGGCTCCGGGCCCAGCCACCCACTCCCGGGTGCCACAGGCCTGCTGCTCACTGTCACTGTCACTCAGCTCGCACAGGCGCTGGGCGGGCACCCTGGTCATCAAAGGCAGGACAGGGCCCTGAGAACCAGGACCTGAGCCTGAGCCATTGGGTCCCAGAGGCCCCCGGGGGGTGGGGGTGGGGTCCCTGGCCCAGCTCGAGGGCCCACTGTGGCCACTTAGTGGCCAGCCTACGGACTGGGGACATTGCCAGGGACTGCCCCACCCTGCTGAGGAGACTCGGCCTGCTCGGCTGAGTGGGCAGGCTGGGGGCCCCCACGGCCCCTCCGTCTTCCTCAGTCAGAAAAGGGACACAGGACGGCCACCCACCCCCGAGCTCACACCCCAGCATCCAATACATACGGGCACCAGGGGCCACACTTCACCCCCACAAGACCTCACCCACCTCAGCCCTGAGACAGGCGCGAAACGGGAAACTGAGGCACAGAGAGGAGAAGCTGCTTGCACAAGGTCACATGGGGCAGGGCAGGAGGGTGCTGACCCCTGCGTGCCTCAGCTTCCCCATCTGTGAAATGGGAAGAAGGGGCCGGGAGCTGCTGCTTTAAGAAGGGACAGCTGACCCGGGGCTGTCTCCCCCAGGAGGTTCTGAAGTCCCTGTGCCCTGAGCTCCCCTGTGACATCACGTCCCAGAAGATGGAAGCCAGGGGCCAAACCTACAGCCCACCAGCACCCTTCCCGGGCCTCCACCAGCCAGAGCTGGGGAGTGGCGGCCGGCAAGTGGCTGGACCCCGGCCCTCCATCCACACCCCACCCCCAGGCTCCTCACGGCCCGGAGAGGGTCAGTCTGCTGCTCCCAGCTCCCAGCCAAACCGGCGAGAGTTCGGCCTCGGAGAGGCCGCCCAACGGCCCCACAGCCTGGGGGGACAGACAGGGCACGGCAGTGTCCAGCCTCGGACAGGACAGGAATTCTGAGAACCTCCGGGTCTTTCCGAGACAGGCGGGGGGCCCCAGAGCCCCTTCACTGCAACAAATCACACGTCGTCGGGGTGCTGTGAACCACCCCCCACCCCCGGGCCTCGCTGCTGTGCCTGCTGCTCACAGCCTCTGACTGGCAGCTGACCACGCCTGTGATCAATAAACAATGGAGCAGAGAATTAACTTCCTGTTTTACTGATGCTGCGCTGATCCCTAAAAACACTGAAAAGACCTTCACTGTGGTGTAACAGGTGCAGCTGGAGTGCACCTTGCAGACCTGGGTCGGTAAACCGCTGGCCTTGAGGTGACAAGCTGGGCCACCGCTCCACAGGGACAGCGGCTGAGACCGTCTCCTCGCCCTGCACCCCAAACACCCTGGACGACCACCCGCCACCACCGCACGGGCTGGACATCTAGTGACCGAACGAACAAATGGAGGAGGAAGGCCTCTCTTCGCGTCCCAGTGGACACGTCTGAAGTGTCCCTGTCCCCCCGCAGTGGTGGGTCGCCATGGCCTCAGAGGTGCCGGGGTCCCCACGAACAGCCGTGCCTGCTGAGTGGCCACCCTGGCTTCCAGAAGCTTCTCCACGAGCAAGCAGGCGGGTGGGGTTTGGAGACCGCCCACCAACGCCGTTCCGCCCTCAGGCCCCGCTCCGAGCCCAACCCCGCAGATCTGATCCAGTCCCCTCCGCAGAGGGGAGACGCGGGGCTCGGGAGGCAGGTCTGCAATCGAGACTCCCGGCCGGCACCGGGGCCAAAGCCGCTGTGGCTGCCCCCAGCACTGGGGAAGGACCCCGCCACGGATCCAGCTCGCCCACGGATCCAGGCAGGAAAAGCACAGCCCAGCTGGGGATTTATCTGCGGAGCCTGGGGGATTCGATTAAGTCTGGACAATTGAACAGGAGCTCTGGCCCTGGGGGACGGAAGCGGGGAGCACTCGGCGCCAGCAGCTGGCAGACCAGCCAGCGGCTCGTGCAGGGCCCTCTGGCCTCTCTCTGTGCCGGCCGTCGGGAGGGGAGGGCAGGGTCTCTTCGCACGGCCGGGCCGGTCCTTCCGGAGACCAGCACGGCGGCCACTGCTCGACCCTGGACGGCCTCCCCTGAGGCTGCTAGAGTTTGTCGCCCAAAAAGGCCAGCGTGCGTCATCTTGTGTGTCCCCCTCGACCCCTGGGGAGGTTTGCAGGGGGAGTCCGCTGCCGCGCGGATGGGCAGAAGTGGGCTCATCACCCCTTCCCCATGAAAAGTGTCTGGCACCAGGCCCTGCGCTGAACACCTCAGGGTCACCATCAGGGTCACCCTCTGACACAGTCACACAGCCCGTGTCACTAGTGGACAAAGGACTGGATGCCCACCCCCTGGATGGGTAGGGAGGGGAGGGCCCTGCTCTGACCCACGCCTGGTCCAGTCCTCATGCTCTTGGCTGCTAAGTGAGGCGCCTCCATGAGACCCCCCCACCCA